GCAAGTGAGGGGTTATGATAAATTAAAACAGCATTTTTCTTTTCTTTCCTTTTTTTTTTTTGAAAAAAGTAGTCATGCCAGTTCTTTGCAGAATCATTTCACGTGGAGCCAGAAATCGTTCAGAGCCGGAGTGGTCTCTGCCGAGTGTTTTCATATTCTAAACACACATATGTTGTACAGAGCGTCTAATTATTCTTGGGGATAATTACTGTCAGGTTCCAAACTATGTTCAATGAGCAGCAATTGGTGTTTATTCAGCTATAAAAAGACCATGCAAAGTAACAGTAGGTTATAGTGTCTGCCTAAAGAGACGTTTTGCCATCCAGAAACATCTGCTTTCTATTTAAAGCACTGAAGAAAGAATGGGAGTATATTTGAAATAGACTCTCTAGGCATTGAACACTAAAGAAAGAAGAATAAAATTGGGTATGAAGGTAAGTTTCTGTTCTCTGATACATACTCGCTTCAGCTTTTCCCTGCTGGGAAGGAAAGGTGGCCTCCTGGGTTGGAAAGTTCTGCTTCTTTTGAACTTTTCTATTTATACTGATTTGCACACTTAGAGGAACTGGCTTGTGTGTCTGTCCTAGTTCCAACTCTTACTTTCTCAGGTGAGACAAGATACTCTTTCAGAGTTGGGGTCTACCTTTTGAATTTTCTGGTGAGGTTTGTGGAGTACTCTGAGTTTGCTGATAAAGATCTAAAGATTTGTTGTCCAGGTTGCCTGAAGTCATCCTGTGACCCTCAATTTTCTGTGTGGATGATGCTGCCCATGCACAGTCCTGTCCAGTGGATTAAATGAGAACATATACGATCTACTTGGTGTGCAGTAAACTTTCTCTGAAGGTCAGTGTATTAGTTATCTGTTGCTGTGTAATAAACGGCCACAAACTTAGCAGCTTAAAACAGAGCACATTTTTGTGGGTCGGGACTGCAGGCATGGCTTAGCTGGGTCCTCGGCTTCAGGGTCTCTCTTAAGGTGTCATCAAGGTGTCAGTCAGGGCTGGGGTCTCATCCGAAGACCCAAACTGTGGAAAGATCCACTTCTAAGCTTCCAAGCATTTGTTGGCAGAACTTTACTTCCTTGAGGGGTGTTGGACTAAGGGCCTCAGTTCTTCTCTGGCTGTTGGCTGGAGGCCACCCTCAGTTCCTGCAATGTGGGCCTCCCCAACATGGCAACTCGCTTCATCAAAGCCGGCAAGAGATAGTCAATCGAGACAGCCTGCTAGCAAGACAGAAGCCACAACCCTATGTAACCTACTCGCACAAGTGACATCCCATCACCTTTGCGACGTTCTGTTGGTTAAAAGCAAGTCACAGTATCCCACCCATGCTCAGAGGGAGGGGCTTACACAAGGATGTGAGCACCAGGAGTTGGGGATCATTGGGAGACACATCAGAAGCTGCCTCTATAGACAGCTGTTATTTTAGGAAGAGAGTATAGCATAATGATTAAGAGAGAGGGTGTCCATGGCATTTAGAACTGACTTCAAATCTCAGATCTGCCAATCTGCCACTTCCTAACTGTGTAATGTAAGGCAGGTCCTTGGCCTCTCTTTTCCTACCTGTACAGCACGTTCCCCACAGGATCTTTGTGATTCTAAATGAGAGATCACATGTAAAGCCTGGCAGAATGGTAAGTAGCCAGTAAATATTAGATACTGGCTTTTCTTTTTATCCTTGTCTTTTTTTTTCTTTTTCTTTAAATACCATGAGATTTTTGAATTTTAGAAGAATGAAATGCAATCCCCCCAGTGGTATCAGACTTGGTTATTCATGTGGAAACCCCAGTCTGGTGGTAGTTTCCTGGGCACAAAGCTGCTGCCAGGCTGGCTGTACAGGTCCTCCCTGGCTTGCTCAGGGCCTCGGGACCAAGGAACACAGGTCTTTGCCCTCAGAAGGGCCGTGGCTCCTCCCATAGGGCCCACCATTGGAATGGGGCTAGTGGAGTCCCTGCAGCTCTCCTCCTGGGCTCTGTGCTTCTCCCTGCGCTGGAGCAGCTCCTTCCCCTGCAGAGGCCTGACCGCGGTGACTAGGGCTGCAGCCACCCAGAGTGTGGCCAGCTGAGCCCACTGTGCTTGCCCAAGAAATCGCATTTCTCGTTGGGGTCTTGAGGGCAACCCGCGATGGCTTCAGTCCACTCTAGAGCTGAGCAGGCTGATTGGGAGATGGGGCCCTTTGGTCTGCATGCTCATGCTGACCTGAATCATGCCCAGCTGAGGACTCACTGCACTTGCTTATCCCTGATCAGAAAGCTCTGCCGTCTTCTCTTATCTCTCTGTCCCGCTTCTTCTGTCTCTTTTGCTTTGCTTTCTTCACTTTCTCACTCCTGTTGGCTTTCAGGGACATACAGTGCTTCTAGAAGGTCACTGCTTGGCCATGACAAGCTGCCCTCTGTCCTGACCAGAGCTCCTCTTGTCTCCTCTCACCTGTCACCCATCCTTTGCACCCAAAGATCCTGTTCTTGGTCCCACTGCTGCCCCCTCAGGCTGTGGGAGGACATTCTGGAGTCATTCTGTGTCATTCACAGTCAGCCTGGTATTCTGGAGCAGATATGCCAGCTGTAGGGTCACTTTGTCCATTTTTTTCTAGATCATCTGATAATGTCTAATGTGAGTCTCCCCAGCTTCCTTGAGGATAAAAATCACCTGGAGCTCTTGTTAAAAATAGAGCTACTCAGGGGCCTTAATCACTTAATAGTGGTTAAGTTCGTGCACTCTGCTTCAGCTGCCTGGGGTTCACAGGTTTGGATCCTGGGTGTGGACCGATGTACCACTTGTCAAGCCATGCTGTGGTGGTGTCCCATATAAAGTAGAGGAAGATGGGCACGGATGTTAGCCCAGGGTCAATCTTCCTCAGCAAAAAGGAGGATTGACAACGGATGTTAGCTCAGGGCCGATCTTCCTCAAAAAAAAAAAAAAAATAGAGCTACTCAGGCCCCTTCCTTGGAGAGCCAGATTCCGGGGGGCAAGGTTGCAGCCTGGGAACTTGTATTTTTAGTTTAAGTGCCCCAGCTAATTCCTATTGGAGGTTTAGAAAACACCAGTCTAAGGGTGTTAAAACCCAGACCCAATCCCTCTTCCTCGGTGTGGGCACACAAGGCCTGAAAGCCGGCCGTTTCCTCGAGGAGGGCTCCTGCCTGACCTGTGGACTCCTGCCCAGCTTGTTAGTGCTCTGCACAAAGGATGCAGAGATTTTAGCATAATTCGATTCTTTAAAATCCTTTTGTGTATTACTGTCCTTCCGGTTGCTCTCTCCTCTTACACATGCAGGAGAATACCATGTGAGCAAGTGTTTTCCTTTATGGTGATGTGCTTAGATGATGAGCAAAATATGGTGCCTGGGCTGGCAGTCGCACAGCTGGGGGATCCGGACGTGCGACTTCCCCACATGGACTTGATCAGGAGGGCTCGTATTCGTGTACACACACACGCTCCCCCACAGGCTGGCCTCTCTTGACAACAGATGCCCGAAATTACAGTGGGAATATTCCTTTTGTTTCTACAGCTGTCACCCTGCCACTGGGAGGGCGTCGGTTTGGAATTGAGCGGGTGGGTGAACTTGGTCTGTGTTGAGGGAAGAGAAATGTCCTAGTAATCCACAGCCCCGGAATCACTTGTCCTGCTCCCAGGATCTAGAAGGGAAAATTCAGGGGGCAGGGAATGCTGGTCTTTGTCCCTTCTTCTGGAAAGCCGGCCTCAAGAAACAGCTGCATTTTGGTAGCGTGAAGAGTATGCCCTGGCTTTTCTTCATTTGGAGAAATAGTCACAAAAGAGGTTTCTGCATTTCTCTACAACCACAATTGATGGTTGGTGCTGGTATTCATGGTATTGTTCAGTGTCCCTTCTGTGATGCTCAAATAATAAATTGCTTTTCTAGGAAAAATTTTCTCTCCTAAAAAAGAGCTTTCTTTCCAATAATGAGCCTTCTGTAGTCGGGATGGGTTCAAAGACTGCCTAAAACTGCTGCATCTAGAGACCAGAACTTAAAATTCATTTTTCCCTTTTGATTTTTTTGTATCTACTTGGGTGTCCTCTTCTTTTATGTCACGTCTTTTGACACTGTAAGAATTAAAAAACAATTAATTTGTCTAAGCTACGTTTTGATTTCATTTTTTATCTCTAATAAATGCTTATTAAATCCGTAGCATTTTTATGAATGATCGGGTTATTTTTACATCCTGGTGGCCATTTGCTCCCTATTTTATCTTATTTCAAACACGTTAAAGGATTTTTGAGCCAGTTTGCCTGAAGACCCTTTCCTCAAAAATAAGTCTATTTTGTAACGAGCCTGTTTCATTTTGTGTTACTTTGTGAAGTAGATACCTTAAAATATGAAATGCAATGAAATGCATTACAATTTTTATCAATCTGCCTTATTTCTTAATGCTTATTGTCAAAATCTAATTAATTCCCCATTAGGCAGACTCATAGATAATGTGCTAATTTGGTTAATAATCACATTAACAATTTACAGGTCTGTGGAGTGAAAAAGCAACAATACAGTAAGAGGCAAGAATAGCAAGAGAGAGATGTGATGAATTTTACATAAAACTCAAAGGGTTTATAAGTTGGAGACAAAACTTTAAGGCTTGGTCAATTATGAATGAATGCATCGTTCATAAAGTGCTGAGAATTTGAGAAGTACTTAATAGAAGCGTAATATGAAGTCGCAAATGGTTTGCACAATCCTAAAATTGTTGCAGAATCCCCCAAAATAAATTTGTTGCAAAATCCTAAAAATGCCCACAGATGTCAGAAAAAGAATGAGACACTTGACGGGATGTGAAAACATTGGACAAGGAGTCACATTTTAAGCAAATTGCTCATTTGGCCAATTGCTCTGCAGCCTCAGGGCGTGGGGTTGCAGTAACTCTGCTGGCGTCCCTTTTTTCTTCTCTCTTCCCTTTTCTTATTTTAATTGTCCTCATGCATATGTATCTTTCCCTAGAAGCTATTAAAATCTTTGGGGGCAGTATGTGGCTTAGAAATCATCAATTATACATGAAGTCTTGTTCCATCAACTCACACGCCTCTCTCTTTTCTCGCAGAGAGCAGCCCATCTTCACCACCCGAGCGCATGTCTTCCAGATTGACCCCAACACCAAGAAGAACTGGATGCCTGCGAGCAAGCAGGCAGTCACAGTGTCCTACTTCTACGATGTCACCAGGAACAGCTATCGGATCATCAGTGTTGACGGAGCCAAGGTACCACTCCACCGGCTGATTTTAACATTCACAGTCACTTACTTTTCATCAAAAGCAATACAATATGTTTGAAAAGTGTAGGGAAAGACGCACACAAAATCCTGCCACCTTAACACGGATGTTATTGTTATAATGTATGTGTTATCACATATCCTGCCTTTTTTTTCATTTAAAGTTATGGCAAGTGAAAAACAAAGATTTCCCTGTTACCACATTGTCTTCATAACTATCATTTTATGCCTGTGTAATAATTCCACCAAGGACCTGTAATGTTCTTAATCTCTCTCTTTATAGTTAGATATTTAAGTCGCTTCCAATTTTTGCTGTTATAGGTAATGAGCATCTTAATGCAACACATACTCTCATTTGTTCATCACGTACCTATTGCTTTCTTTTGGATATTACCTTAAGACGGATTCCTGGAAGTAATATTATAGGTCGAGATATTAACACTTTATAGCTCTAGATGGATATTGCCAAATTGCTTTCCAAAGAGTTCTCTCTTCCAGCATGTATGAGAATGCCAGTTTAGGGCCAGCTCCGTGGCACAGCAGTTAAGTGCGCGCGCTCTGCTGCTGGCGACCGGGGTTCGGATCCCGGCGTGCACCGACACACTGCTTGTTGGGCCATGCTGTGGCTGCGTCGCACATAAAGTGGAAGAAGATGGGCACGGATGTTAGCTCAGGGCCGGTCTTCCTCAGCAAAAAGAGGAGGATTGGCATGGATGTTAGCTCAGGGCTGATCTTCCTCA